TCTCCGAAGCTACAGGGCTGAGTTTGAAAAGATATAAGGGAGCCATTGTCTTCAGCAGATCATGTGAAATGCTGCCAAAGTCAAAAACAAACACTCCGATCTTTGGTCTGAATAAAGGCCTTTCAAAGCTTTTGGCAGTGAGTTTCACTGACCATGGCTGTTTTGAATATAAACAATTTAAAACTATGGTTGGTTGGTTGATTTTTCGTTGTGATTATTACAATACATTTATACCAAATTGTTAAAAGGGCCCGATTCTGTGACTGATTCCTACTGAAGCCAATAGGGCTTGGGAGCTGAGGCCATCTTGTGGGATTGAGCTTTGTCAGAAACATAAAAACATAAGAGCGACCATACTGGGCCAGACCAAAGGTCCATCTAGCCCAGTATCCTGTCTTCCGACAGTGGCCAATGCCAGGTGCCCCAGAGGGAATGAACAAAACAGGTAATCATCAAGTGATCCATCCCCTGTCGCCCATTCCCAGCTTCCGGCAAACAGAAGCTAGGGACACCCATTCTGGCTAATACCCATTGATGGACCTATCCTCCATGAACTTATCTAGTTCTTTTTTGAACCCTGTTATAGTCTTGGCCTTCACGACATCCTCTGGTAAAGAGTTCCACAGACTGACTTCATTTGTTTCAAACCTGCTGCCTATTATTTCAGAAAAAAACACTGAGCTTTGAAACCCTGGCTCCAGTGAACTCACTGCAAGTTTTGCTTGCCTCTGACAACAAAAGGGCCAAGATTTCACCAAAAATGTCTCATTTTCCAGGTTGCCAGACTGCTGTGTTCACAGACTTGATCCAGGGCCCAGTCTTGCAGATCCTACTCACGTAAATAAAGCTCTGCACAAATGAAGTCCTGTATTAACATTTATGAGGAAACCAGAGGCTCAGGGGACAAGACGACTTTTACACTTCTAGCCTCTAGGAAAACTACCATTTTCCTACTTTCCTTTCACCATTTACAAGCTCAATCTGTACCCTTTGAAAAACTATGCAGATTTCTTTTCTGGGTCTTTAAATAGAGAATGAAAGACTAGAAAAGAGGCACTTAAGCATTCCCACTGACATGAAAAAGACAATGCTTTAGTGCTGAACCAACTCCTGCTGATTGCAGCATGGATCTTAGGCCTCTAGTTAGACAGTACTCTGCACAATTCTAATTTTGCACATAAATTTCCCCTTTAAGATGAGAAAGCTGCACTTTCAAAGTGAATAATCATCCGAATGCTCTTCCTCGGAACAGCATGGGGCAGACTCCCATGCTGGCCCGTATTTCTGATTGGACTTTTATTTTTAAAGGTTCATTTGCCATAAAGTTTTATACATCTCACCCTCCATTACAGTTTAGGAATTTTCCCTTTTGATTTCACTCAGGATATTCCATTGTTCAGTGTCCTCAATGCACGCGAATGTAACATCTCTACTGTCCAGGAATTCTAGCAGGAAAACTCTTCACTTGTTTTTGGAAGCCTTTGCAGAAAGAGGCAATGGTAGATGCTCCCCTACTCTTCTTCTTCCAAACTTGACTCTTTATGCATTATACATGCAAGGTGTTCTCAGAAGTGTATTTATAGATGCTATCTAAGTAGCGCTAATGGGCTGAGTGACATTTTTTCAGTGCTATGGATACCAATGAGCTGATAATACAGATTTAGGCTTGTTTGGACTTTTCAGTTAATTAATGTTTGAGAGGTGGAAACTGCAGATGTCCAGTAGCTTTATTTTACACGAAGCACAGTCATATTAACTTGGTCATGCTCTGTGGTTCAGATCAGCAAAATATTAAATAGGTAATTATAGAACAGAACACCGAGATCCCTTAGGAAAATGTCCTTATGTAAACATGAGGTTTTGTCCTCAGTATCACCTTGTTTCTATGATAAAGGTCAGCATATCCTTGAATCTGACAGTTTGCGCTCACTTTCCTACTGTTATATTAATCAATTTCAGCCTCTCTGCTGCTTTGGTTCTTGATGGTTTTGTCAGTCTGTATCTGTTACTTTCTGTTACTTATGCAGAGTGGGACTGATTCTCCTCTCACGTTGCTGGTAGTCAGAAGTAACTCCGCTAATATCACCAGAGTTACAGCTGCATAAAATTGGTGTGGGAGGGAAACTGGCACCAGTGTATTTAAAACAGTCTTGAAGCCCTTAGTCAGGAAAAAACTTCCACTCATATCAATGAGTTCTTTCTGATTAAGGGACTTCAGCTTTCGACCCATACCGCATAAATAATACAAGGGCTCAAATTCTGCTCAGAACCATGTTCATCATTGAGTTAAAGGTCTGTAACTGACAGCAGAATTTGGTTCACAAATACTAAGTACTGTGCCATTGACCAAGTGTGTTTAATGCTGAGGACCAGGTCCTTAGCTGTGTAAACTGGAGAAATGAAGCACCAAGACACACAGAGAAGAATTCAGTGGAGTTACATCACCTGCTCTGAATCTGGCCTTATAGTATTTGATAATATGATGCAAAAGGCTGAATGTATTAGAGTCCATTAACCCTTCTTGCAGCTTTAAAAACCCCAAACAGCTGCAAAATCATCTAGCAAGCAAAACCATGTTTTCTATTTGAGAGTTTATTGAACTGCTTAAAGAAGAAATAACACAGATGAAAACTTCTCAGAGTGAAATGCAGATGATTTAAGCATCTTGCATTTGACTAGTCATGTTCTAGGGATGTTCTGCTTTGCTGAAAGTAGTGCTGTGTCATCTGACAGATGCTGCTTATGACAGACTACAGAGTCACTAGAGAGGGTGGGAGCTCAGAGAAAGATTAAAACACTAAAAAAATCAATTAAGACATTCAACAAATTTCAAGTTAAATATTTCCGTATCTGTTATCGTGCTCTAACTCCTGTTTCCCCTACTTCAAACCTCTTCCTCAAAGCCAAATCTTCAATCCACAGAGGATGGGATGAGACTGCCTTCAGAGCCCACAAACACTACACCCTAATTCAAGAGGTTGCTCCTTTCAGACTTGAGGGCCTTTTTGTCCCAGGAAGCCAAGTTGTCCATCTCCACTTTACTTCTCTGCTCTTTCCCATCAGTCTTTTCTAGCAGCACTTGTCTTCTCCACAGGGCAGCTTTAAATGTAACAAACACACTCACGACAACTACGAAAACTGAAACTAAAAGGGACGAGGTCAACGTTGTCCACCATTTATACGTGGAATCCAGCGCTCCAGGAACTGGCAAAACAAACAGGGAAAAAGAGCAAAGATGCTAAACCTAGGACATGGTTCTGGACCAATTCTGCACTGGTTTCCCCTACTCCCCTCCAGCCCCACTGGCTATAATGGCATTACTCAGGATCTAAGTCAGCACAGAATATAGCCCCATTGATTGGGCCTGAATTTGTAAATTAGTGGCCCAGATTGTAGGATGATGTGAGGCGGCTTTGTGCCGAACTGCTGATGCACTTGGGTCTTACCTAAAGCTGGCATAGCAGTCCATGCATGCAAAGATCACCCCAAACTTCTGATGGCATAAGAGCAACATAGCTGGTCCTACACAGCTTCATCTTCATTGTACAAAGTGCGGCCAAGGGTTCCCTACACCTCACTGATCCCAGCTTCTTTGGAATGTTGGCAGTCGGTGTAATATATGCTAGGATGCTGAGCCAGCACACCAAGGTACATCTACAGTGCACGCAGAGGGGTGAATGCAGCTTGAGTAGGTAAGCCTGCACTAGCTTTAATCTAGCTAGCACCGCTCAAAATAGCAGGGAAGGTGTGGTGGCACTGGCACGTACTAGCAACACTAGAACATACCCACGGTTCTCAGTGAGCTTGTCTAGCCTGTGCTACTGCTTCTTTTTAGCCACACTCGCTAGGTTAGTGTTGGTACATATCTACACAAGTGTGATCCCACTGCCACCTGCACTGTAGAGATGCCCACAGTCCAGGATCAGGGGTGCATAGAGGCTGGTGTGTCTTGTAAAACACATTGGGTATCCTCGCTATACCAACCCAAGACTCTGGCTGGGTGCAGGCAGTTCCTGCAGAGGGAGAGGAATCCTGCTCAGGGCGTGGAGCAGCAGACAAGCTTTGGAAAGCTGCACCTCAGGCACCCCTCTGGTATGTCACTTTACACAGCGCAGCACGGGGAGGGCTGTTAAAAACAGCAGGGCGCGCTCTCACCTGGGGCTCCCTTGCAGATCCACGAAGCCCGTTCAGAGCAGGCAAAGGAAATGAAGGTTCCAGATACGGGTTCAATCTGCACACACAAATCTTGAACTGCTTTGAAACCCCTGCAAAGCAAAACAAAGCAATGGCGCTCACTTTTACATGAGACTGCATTTCCAACTCATGAGCGAAAGTCGCTTCAAACACACATCTCATCTGTATTCCCATGCCGCTCCTCGGGGAGGGGGGAGGAAAAGGGTAAGAGATGAAGGACGTAGAGTTGGTTGGGGTATTGGGAAGAGGTTCGGGGGGAAGATGGGTGGAGTGTGTTTCCACTGTCACTTTTTAACCCATGGACTAGGCCTAGAGCACTTTTAATAGGCACAATTGGAAAGAAATCTAAATCAATCACTACCCTTAGTTAGTTAATTAAATACATTAGCTATCATGGCCTTGATCATGCCCGCAGGTTCACACTTGTATCAGCTTCATATACCTTTCAAAATTTTACTTTCTGTGCTTGCACAGGAAGGTGCAGAAAATGATTTTTCCAAAATCTTCTGACAATCAGAATCCCCAAGATTTCAGGGTACAAAGGTCATGTGTGAAAAACAAGACAGCTGTATTAAATCCCCATCATTCACCACTGACTGCACTCAGAACAGCCACCACCATCACCTTGTATAAAAAGACAGGACAGACCCCCAGTTGGTATAAGTTGACATAGCTCCATATGGCCCTATAACGGTCTGAAATGCTTAAACAGAGACTACGAGATCAGTTTCACTCATTTGTTATCGTACTGTCCTTTCCCAGCCGAATACTGTAACCATCTCAAGACAAATGCATCCAGAGTGGTGTCAATATGAAGGATTTCCTTTTCCAAAAGCAGCTGGCACCTTAGACCACAGCTGCAATTTGCACAGAACTTTCAGTCCACTCTGATCAAAATATTCAACAATGCTTTGTGGAAAAGACACAATAAATCAGGTCAAAAGGCAATTAGTAATCTCACCTCATCATGGGAGATCATTCTGCAGCCGTGTGTTCCTGATGGGATCCTTTATAAGGTATTTGCTCAATCCACAGCAATAAAACCAAATAACACAGTTGCAGTTTGACACATGGCTTAGTATCTCACAGACCCAGCAGCCACGAAACTAATACCATGGACCTCAAAATATTGGTTTAGGGAGGTGTGTATTCATGCCAGCTACACTGAAGGGCAGAGTACAGAGCCTGAATTTTGGGACAATCTGCACAAGGACAGCAGAACTGAGCCCTCAAAAAGCAGAGATTTATTTCTCTTTATAGGGTGAATATATTTAAATATCTGAAATATGGCCAAGACCAACTCCCCCATGATCTTATCACCCTAAAATAAAGGAAAGGTGAACAGAATGAGAAATGGGAACTGTTTATTTTACCAACGAGGCGCTGCTCTATCTCCATCAGGCATGATCCAGGAGTTTGACTGGAGTTTATAGCTCAGGCTGCCAAGCCAGCTTTTTCTAGTGATGACTTTAGCTATCCATCTCTGCAAGGAATTAGCAGAAGCAGTGTTGGGACATACATTGTGGCTAAAATACATACACAAATGCAATCGTTAACCATCAAACACAGTCTCATTTCTTTGGATGAATGGTATCTATGTGGACACATTTCCAGCTGAGGATTTGGCCCATTACTCTTGGATTCTCTTTTTAACTGGTATTGAGAACTAGTTTGACATATTAAGAACCCAATTCTGCTCCTATTGAAATCAAGTAGAGTTTTGCTATAGGTTTAAATGGGAGCAGGTTTAACTATGTGTAGCTGTTCACCAGTGTTCAAAGCAAACATTAGTTACAAGTACATAATGAAGTATTATACCTGGTATCTATTGTTAAAAGGGTGCTGTCAAGCAGTTGAGGGCCAATTTTGACTTACTTTACAACGGCTCTAGTTGGGTACGAATATTCTCCAGATCCCAGCACTATCTAACTTCTGTCTATAGTGCCCATCCCCACAGTATCGTTTAACCACTACCAGATAACTGTATGGTGAGGTTTCTAGTGGACTTCATCGTATCTTCTGCTCTCCCTGACTTGGTTCTATCTCCTGGGACGAACTTTTGCAAAAACCCACTATTCAGTTGTTGACAAATTGAAGACAAATTAAAAAATAACCACTCTTGATGTAGGACCTACATAGCTAAATCTTGAGATCCTTGTTTAGTTTTTATTCTGTCCCTACTCAGGCTAAACTCCCATTGACATCAAGTGGGACTTTACCTGAATAAGACCTCTAGCTTTAGCTCAGTATTAGTATTATTTATATTATGCTAGCATGTCGGAGACCCAGTCATGAAGTAGGACTCCATTGTGCTTAAGCACTGTCCAAACAGAACAAGAAGATGGTCTCTGCCCCAGAAAGCTTACAATTTAAGTACAGTTTGTGATGTGTTATTTCATATCCAGCCAGCTGGCTGATGGATTACAAGATAACAAACCCTATCTCCAGAAATCCTGGCATCACAGAACTATGGATGGGGGTGAAAAAGAAATGGAAGCTGATGTTGGCACACAAATAAATGAGTGAAAGAACAAGGGTTGGCATGTGATTCATAAAATACATAAAAGAAAAACTAATCAGTGTTTTTAAGAAGATAAAAGGGATCCAGTACGTTGAGATTAATATTATTTCAAAGTTTCAGACACAATGGAATGCAAAGCAATACAAATGTAAAGACTAGCGAAAACCTCAACAGCACCTCTTCATTAACTATTAACAATCTGATACTCATGACTGACCTGTTCTTCTGTGTTGTTTAATTTTATCAGTTGTGCCCCTTGGAACCGACTGCACATGAACTCTGCTTCGCTCTTATTCAGTACCCCATATGGAGGAACATAGTAACAATTTCCATTCCAGTACTTCCAAGAGGCAAAACAGAACTTGCTTGTAAGGCCTTTTTGAAACATGCAGACACACAAATTAAAGGTGTAACACACACTATGCACTATTAGGCAGGAAAAGATATTATATAGTTGTTTGCAACTTAAAGACATATTGCACATGATTTCCTATATAACTGTAGTATGTTATGTGCATGTAGCATACCATAATACAGGACAAAGTCTATTTCAGTAGCCCATTAGTTGTGGTTTGCTTTAGTCACTCTGGGGTTTTATTAGCAGGCCACTAAAAGGTGCCTTTTTGTATCTTGTTAGATAGTAGTTGACTCTTTAAAAATATTTAAAACAATTGCTGATGTTAATTTATGGAGGCATTTTTCCATTCTGAGAAATCATGCAAAGTAGAAAAGTAAGAGGGAACAGGAAAGGAAAAAAATTCCCTTTTTTCCTATTATTTTTCCTCCTTTGCCAATCCTGTGATATCACAGTCATTACAAGGGACCTTAAAGAGACAGTGTCAACTTAACAGTCCATTTAAAAAAAATGCCAAGAGTAGTTTCAGGTAGAGACGTTGCCCTTGCTTCTAAACCCCCATGATAAATTTAGTGGCTTTACAATAACATATTACTATGGTCTACATTTTTTTCTATCCCTTGTCATTGTGTGAAACCCCCATTAATAACAGTGGAATCTCCCAGAGCTAAGGAATGAGGGGGACTGAATGTAAATAAAGTGCTGTCAAGTGACTAAAGCATGACAAAACATAGAAAAATCACAGATATTTGTTTTCCTACTCCCTCTATAGTAAATGCTGGCATTACCCCTAACAATCATATATTATTTTAGAGCAGTGTGATTTCATACCCTGGGATGAAATCAGTAAAGTTGCCCAACCAAGCCATATATGGTTTTTAAAGAAAGGCACACAGTACACCTTTGATAACTTATTTTGCACCCAGAGCGCCAGTCTCTTGGTGCTTTAACAAAATTAGGCAGTCAATATGTTTACTGAAAATGGTTCACATTGAAGAAAGCGCTGAGGCACACGCTTAAGTCCATCACTATTCAGAAAAGCACCTAAACAGATGCATAACATTAACTTTAAGCATGTGTTTAAGTCTCGTTAACATACTTACATGCTTTCCCAAATAGATATGCTTTCTTGAGTCGGAGCCAATAACGGTCTGATCCAAAGCTCATTCAAGTCACTAGGAGTGACACCACTCCCCACTCCCACCCACCCACCGATCATAAACACCTAAATCCTGCTAAATGGACTCCACCAAACAGACTCTCTCAATGTCAACAGAACCTATTCATATAATCCACATCAAAATATCCAACTTCAGCAGGAAAAAATGCCTGATTTTTCCTCAGCTGCAGTACTTACGGTATTCACAGAGTTCTAATTTCTTCCTTTCTTGACATGTCACTGTACCATCACACAGCCCTGTGAGTCTATTGCACACGGTATGATTGAGACAGGTGGGGCATTTCTTTTGACAATAGGCACCATAATGTCCTTTGCTGCAAGCTGAAAGTAATTTAAAAAAAAACCACACATCTAAATTTAGCTTCCATTTTTGGCATATCTTGAAAATTTAAATCAC